AAAAGTTCTTTGTTCTTAAATTTTAAGTTTATCTTGTTGCTGTTACTTTGAAGTGACATAAATTGCTGAGACTTTTAAACTGTGCCCCTATACATTAATTTAATTTGTAGATGGAGCCAAGTCACTTGATGTTGTGGAAGATACTTTCCTCACAAGCTCATGTAAAGCAAGCACCTTAAAGGGCAACCTTCCTGTTATATCTGAAGCCGTTGCTTTTATAAGTATTTTTATGTGCAACTTTAAAAAAAAAGTCTTCTTTTGTATAAAATGAGGTGTGTTATAAAAAGTCTTCAATTAACTAAGATTTTCATCTTTGATTCTTTGTTCCAGTGCCCTGCCTGCCCCCACTCATTCCCAAGTTACTGAAGGCAGTTTGTTTGAAGACACTTCCTTTCAAATGTTAGGTCATTTGAATAGGTGCATTTTCAACAAAATGGTTTTGAAAGAAGAATATAGTCTTTTTAATCTAAATTTTTTTCCATTTAGAAGAAAGTTTGAGCCAGGCTCGGTGGCTCAGCCTGTAATCCCGCGCCTTTGGGAGGCTGAGGTGAGTGGATCGCCTGAGCCCGCGGGTTCGAGACCCGCCTGGGCAGCGAGACCTCATCTCTACAATAAATCAAAAAATCAGCTGGGCGTGATAGTGCACGCCTGTAATTCCGGCTACTTGGAAGGCTGAGGTGAAGGGATCGCTGGAACCCAGCAGATTGAGGCTGCGGTGGCCGGGAGCGGTCACTACACTCCAGTCAGGGCGACAGAGTGAGACACCAACTCAAAAAAAAAAAAAAAAAAAAAAAGAAGAAGAAAGTTTGTATAAAAAGATGACCTGTAACAAGCCAAAACAAATGTTCGTAACTCCACATAGGATATTTTTAAAATCATGTTTATTAGAATGAGAATTAGCTTTCTGTTGTTGTTTTATGAAATAGTATCTGGCAGATGGCAGCATTTTTTTCTTTTTAATTTTGCTTGTGGTGATTGAGTTTGGTCCTCAGATATTCTCTGAAAATAGAGACTAGCACAGCAGAGAGATGGTTATAGAACAGCTTACAGTCAGGCCTGGGTTTGAGTCTAGGCACCATCTCTTAATGTATGTGATCTTAAGCTCAGTACACAAGTTGGTTGAGTAAAATGGGGATAAATAATACCTTGTTCTGAGGATTAAATGAGGTAATTAGTGTGATGTATCCAGTACATGAAGTACATGCAGCACATAAGTTGTGGCTGTGTTTGTTTTCAGGGCAAGAAACTTCCTCTGAGACTTCTGGAGGTGTACACTTGCATGTGCTTTCTCATTATCTCTCCTTTTCAGTGTTCATTTGCCTCCCCACCTCTGAAAGAATGACTAAGATTCAGTTTTGGTTTGGGAAAGTTTTCCATTGAAGACCTTTTGAAATAATTACTTGAAGGACGTGTATACTAGTTGTTTCTTGTAAAGTAATAGTAGGTAGTCTGAACTTCTCCACCTTAATGTCCCACAGACTTTTTTCTTGATATGAAAAAAGTTATGCTGTTCCCTCTTCTTAGCCTCAGTCCTCCTTATCCTTCGTAGCTCAGCTACAAGGCCCAAGGACCAGGTATGCCATTGGGAGGCTTTCTCTCAGTCAGGGGACTAACTGCTCCTTCTTCTGGGTTCCTCCTATGTCTGTGTCTTGACACTTCACGAATTATACAGTAGCTTGTGTCTGTGACGCAAAGCAGTTCTTTTGCAGTAGGACTGCATTTCATGCATCTTCTTTTTAAAAAAGTATCATCATCTTATTTTAAAGATGTATTGCATACATCTTCATATCTCCTGCACAGTTATCCTGGCAATTACTGGATAAATGTATGAATTATTCTTAAGATATGTGATTTTAGACAGGTCACCTAATCAATAAGGCTTAGTTTCCTCATCTTTGAAATGTGGCTTTCCGTCTCCGGATGGTCCTCTTCAACTGCTCTCACCAAAGTCGCCAATAAAGTTGCAATTGCCAAATTAGGTGACAGGTTTTGGTTTTATGTCCTAAGCTGTTTGGCAGTGACCACTGCTTCTCCCTGCATCCCCAGGTCTGCTGATTTTTATACTTCTCAGAAGATGCTCCTGATACTTGACCTTAGATGTGTCCATTGCAGGTCTTAAGGATTCTGCCCTTTTGGTCTTTCTGTAGCTCTTCTTCATCTCTGTCCGTTACGCCCAGATTCACGTTTGCCCTGCTGGCTCCAGTCCATTCTTTCCAGACTGTGTTTGGAGTACATTCATACGTCCCCCGGGCACTCGACATGAGGCAGACCCGAGGTCGAATGCAGGCCTCCTGCTCAAGCCGTTCTTGCTCCCCAGGTTTCCCAGTCTTGATTAATGTCATCATTCATCAGCGACTTGTTGCTTTTTCCCATTCTCCAATCCCCTCCTCTAGTGACCCGCCCCGACAGGTTGAGCACCAGGTGCTCTTTGAATTGGTCCTCTACTCCGTCCTCTAGCAGCTCCAGGCCCTGCTTTCTCAAGGGAACTGGAGCAGTAACCTCCAGACCTGCTTCCACACACTCCTTTGTTCCGTTTCTTCCTTTGTAGAAGTGGAACTGCTTGGTCACATCTTTCTTATTTTAAAAATCTGGCCTGGCTTCGTGGTTCATGCCTATAATCCCAGCAGTTTGGGAGGCCAAGTTGAGAGGACTTCTTGAGCCCAAGAGTTTGAGACCAGCCTGGGCAGCATAGCCAGACTTCATGTCTACAAAAAATAAATTAGCCAGGTATGGTGACAATGTGCCTATAGTCCCAGCTGCTTGGGAGGCTGAGGCAGAAGGATCACCTGAGTCCAGGAGGTCAAGGCTGGGGTGAGCTTTGTGACACTGCACTCCAGACTGCGTGACAGAGGGAGGCCCGACTCAAAAACCAAAACCAAGATGTCTCCTGTGGTTTTTTTCATCATTATGGACTCGACTGTAAATGCCTTAGCATGGCATTCCAAAGCTCCTCACTTGGAACCTGCCCCTCTTCAACCTCATATCCCATGTTTCCTGCCCACGCTGAACTCATTTGTGCTTTCATGTCAAAGTGCTTTCTTCACGTTGTTTTTTTTCCCTTTCCCTTCGAATGCCCTTTTCCTTATTGTTCAGCACAGTGGTTCTCATGCCTTGAGGATTATAAGAACCTGTGTATTTATTTTACTTTTTAAAAATATTTACTTTTGGACCTGTCCTCCTCCCCCAGAGATTTTGATTCAGTGTCTGGAGTGAGGACTCATCTCACTTGCTTTATCTGAAAGATGACAATGTTGAAAACAGATGATTTTAAAGATTATGTAAAAATCTGTATGTATGTGGTCCTAGAATGCTTCTAAATAATCACTCTTTATCTTATATAAATATACAAATATGGAAGTTTATAAATACACAGATATGGAAAGGGTAAAAGAAGCTCCTCAGATTTTGGAGATCCGCTGGATTAAGAACTATTACTCTGCCCCATCTTGTTTGTCACCTGCTTTGTGACATTTACCCCTTCAGGCTCTTTCCTTTGTGGTCTTCTTAAAGCACTTTCTACGTAACCTTTAAAAGGACGCTCTAACGTGGAGTTGAAATTCCTTGTGTATATATATTTGTGTTTTCCGTTAGATTCTAAAGTTATCCTGGACTAGCACTAGGACTTAGCATTTTTAGATTTCTTATACTTTATCCATAGCAGATGCTCTGAAAATTTTTGTTAATTAAATTAAGAGCTATTTGAAATAATTAAGAGATATTTGAAGCAGTTATTGAACTGTAAGAAGTTATGTACATGTGAGTAGTTAGTATGAAGATTACTAATTTTCCCATTTTATTTGTTTTTTGCTTAAATTTTAAAATGCTGTTAGAATCTTTTAGGAGGGAAAAATGCTGGAACCTGCTGAAAGACATTTTGCTTGTATTGAATCTGTTTCAAAGAACAATGATTTCTTAGACAATATACAACAATGTTCAACTGTTTTTTCCTTGTAATATAAGAAAAGGAACATATTTGTCTGTGTCTTTAAGCAGAGCTATCTCAATGGGCCTGTAGAAATATCTACATGTAGATAGTGTGGTTTGTTTATAGTTTAGATGCCTGAGACATTTATTTTTTTATTATATATTTTTCTGCAAATTCCTAATATCAAATGGATTTTTTCTTTTACTTGTAGATTTTAAGATCTATTTTCCTAAGCATTCTGTAAGAGTATGTCTCATAAGATAGAAATGGAGATTTTTCTCTAGTCTTTACATACTTAAGAGATTCTTATTCTCAGCCTTTTTACTTGGAGAAAAAAAGAGCAGCAGCAGCCTTAGCAGTGTGTATTTTACTTCTGTATGTGAAGGACAGTGTAGTTCCTAGTGAGTTATGAGGAAATGTAAACACTGAGATGGATGGACTTGGGCTTTTTAAAGACTGCTTCGTTATCATTTTTCCTTTCCCCTTGGGAGCCAATCCTTGAGATCCCTCGGAGCACAGCTACTGGGTCCCCACTGTTTACAGTGGTGATGTTTACACCACAGCAGACTCCCCTTCACTCCGGCCATCATGGAAGATCATGCATCCCACCAGATCCTCCAGCCCCTAGTGCTCTCATAGTCTTGGGGAGCTTGGGAAGCATGACCACTCCCAGAACATTTATGAAGAAACTGGGGGCTCTTCTTTTCCACCAGCTACAGCATTGCATCATTCACTAAAACAAGTTTTTCGTTCTCTTAACCTCTAGGGTGCCTGTGCTTTTTGTTCATACACCGGTGTCTTCTAGGCCCTTCCAGGTGTCCTTCCATGCCTTTACCCACATGGTTACCATCTGTGCCCTGCCAGGTATAGCACAGACAGTACAGGGCTTTGGCTCATTGCTTTGAACTTGAGGTTCATCCTTGGGAGGGTCCCTGATTTTTGTTTTTTGTAAACTAGAAGATGTTAATTTTATATAATCTTGGTGTTTTTGTCCTGAGAATTTCAGTGTAACATCATATGAAAATTTACATCTGTGTTGCTAATATGAAATTTTAATTTTTCTTTACAGGTCAACTTTGTAGTGTGCCAACTCTTTGCCTTGCTAGCAGCCATTTGGTTTCGAACTTATCTACGTTCAAGCAAAACTAGTTCTTTTATAAGACATGTAGTTGCTACCCTTTTGGGCCTTTATCTTGCACTTTTTTGCTTTGGATGGTAAGTAATTATTTTGGTCATTTTAAAATGAAGACTATTTGGAAATATTTAAGAACTGAATGTGTAGAGAGATAAATTATGTAGGGTTTCGTTCTTATGTTTACTTAAAAATGTTCTCTCAATGCCAACGTTAAAATTTTTATTTTTAATACAAAAAAATGATGGGAAATGGGCTCTCTCTTTAGAATGGTCTTAGAGGGGAATTATTTATTTATAGTTCATGAAAATGAACATGAAAAAAGTTATAAAGGCATTTTATTCTGTCGTGAGTTCTTTTCACCTGTTTTGTCAATTTTTTATGCCAAAACAGATAAGCGATTACATTTTTTTGTTGTTCTTTTTGTTTGTGGCTTATTTTTTCTCTGTGCATGTAACTTTTAAGAGTCTGGTAAAGCCTATTGATAGAACACTGTTGCTATTTTTTCAATCCTGCCATTAGTAAAAAGAGATTTTGTGTTTGTTCATTTGTTTGTTGTTCTCAATGGGGAAGAATTATTTATGATGGAAAGCTTTTCTTTATGACCCTTCATATGGGGGTATGTATTTTCTTGTTAGCTCTTCTTCTTGATTGTCAGGGCTACCCAAAAGCTTTAAATACAGAAATACTATACTTCTTGTTTATTACAGATAACTATAGCTTTACATGATGGAATAAATCAGAAGAGCACATTCTCTTGGCAAAGCAGCAGAGCCTCTCAATGGAAGGACTTCTTTGTGATTTCTTCTTGAGTTTTCCTTAAGTGAGCACTTACGCTGCTTGCTCATTTGCTGCAGTGTTTGCCTACTCACACTTAAGGACTTCTAGGCTTGCCTTTCTGCAAATTATTGTTTGAGATGAAAATTCTTTGAGTGGAATATTATACTCACTTGGTCTGTGCTTTAGCAGCTTCTGTTGTGGAGTGTAGCGTCTAAGGAACTTTGATAACGCATGTGTATTCTAGGATTTTTTTCTTATGAGAGTTGGAATACACTGATATTTCTTAGTCTGGTTTTTGCCTCTCACAATTGCAGATATTTCCTAGAAACTCATGAAAAATCAACCAAAGATAATTTATTCAGTCTCTACCTTTTTACCATACTATCTCTGATATGTACTGCCCATGGTAGGTAAGTTTATGAGATTTAAGTATGATCTCTTAAATAAGATTTAAGTATAGTCTTTTTTGCTTTTTTGACATCAAATTTATAGCATTAAGTTTTTTTTTTAAAGGTTTTTAAGGTGATAACTATTTAAACTTCTCATAAATCATGGCGTGGGATGTATATATATGTTTAAAATTTATTATAGAACTTTTCAAACACAAAAGTACAGAGTGAACCCTCAAATGCCTATTACAATCAGCTTCAGTAATTATCAAAATTCCACTATTCTTATTTTATCCATTCTCCAGTTTATTTCTCTAGAGTATTTTAAAGCATATCCCAGTCTATACATTTCATTCCTAAATAACTTTGGTATTCAGTATATATTTGGATAGCATATTTTCTGTTTTCTTTCTTTCTTCTTTTTTTTTTTTTGAGTTGGAGTCTTACTCTGTCGCCAGGTTGGAGTGCAGTGGTACGCTCCCAGCCACTGCAGCCTCAACCTGCTGGGCTCCGGCGATCTTTCCACCTCAGCCTTCCAAGTAGCCGGAACTATAGGTGCACGCTACCACACCCCGCTAATTTTTTATTTATTGTAGAGACGAGGTCTCGCCAAGTTTCCTGACTGGGTCTTGAACCCGTGGGCTCAGGCAATCCACTTGCCTCAGCCTCCCAGAGTGCTGGGATTACAGGCTGAGCCACAGAGCCTGGCCGGATAGCATATTTTCATGAGGGGTTGGGGAAGGATTATAGTTCATGTTGGCCAACTCCAGGGCTTTGTGGTCTCTAGGAGCAGAGGATTAACATGGGATTAGTATTTCCTATAGTTGTGTAACATGGAGACACTGCCAAAGGTGAGGATGAATCTCTTTACTCAGAATTATTTTACTGAGAAAATGTTCTCATGCTATGAATCCTTCTTGGATGGTTTCTATAACACAGTGTCCAAGTAACCTGATGTTAATGTCAAGAAGTACTAAGTATTTTAAATTATATGTGATAACTAGGATTTCTTTTAATGAGTTTTCTGTTCTTGTAAAAGAGAAACCTTTTTGTATCCCTTTCTTTGGGAAGAGGGATTGTGCCTCTGTACTATGTGTAAAATAACTCTCTGCTAAGTGAAATTAGCTAATGGGAATATATTCTTTTGATTTTTATTTTAGCACTTTTTTTTTTTGGTAGACTCAAAGTGATCATATCTGCTATTGATTTTGACATCCTCCTTTTGGAACACATGCTCATACTCTGTAATTACAAAGGGTGCCAAAAAAATGTATACACATTTTAAGAAAGGAAAAAGTTGTATTAAAATTGTAATATTCAATATATATCAATAACAAGATGAATACAAGTCACGTTGACTTCTGCAACTACAGGAGCTACTCAAAGTGGTTACCATCAGTGTCCAGACACTTCTGATATTGGTGAACTTTTGCACACTTGTTGCTGTGCAGGACCTCTTGGATCTTTCCTTGTGCACATCACACACAGTACCATGCATCTCAAACTTGTCACGAATGTGTGCAGTTGTTAAGCGTGTTGGAAGTCCTGTTGCATACTCATGCCTTCCTCATGCATACTCATGTCTCATGCATACTCATGCATACTCATGCATACTCATGCCTTCACAATATTCTCAAATTTCAAATACCACTTCAAAATGGTCTTGCTGTCCTCAAGTGAAAGCCACGCTTCCATCATTTTCTTTGTCCTGCCTGTAGCATGGTGACGCTAACATTCATTTGATTAATGCCATCTTTTGAGCAAATGTCATACTACACATTGCTACTATAATTCAGTCCAACTTGGAAAAGTAATACATAGATAATATCTCTTAAAATGTGTCTATATTTTTTTGGCACCCCCAGTATATAGGCATGCCTTGGAGATATTGTAGGTTCAGTTCCAGACCACCCACAGAAAAGTGAATATTGTAATAAAGCAAGTCATACTGATATTTTTGATATCACAGTGCTTATAAAAGTTATGTTTGCCCTATACTGTTATCTAATAAGCGTGTAATTTCATTATATCTAAAACATAATGAAATTATGTTTTAATTGAAAAATATTTTATGCTAAAAGTAGTAACAATCGTCAGCGCCTTCCGCAAGTTGTAATCTCTTTACCGGTAGAGCGGCTTGCCTTGATGTTGATGGCTGCTGACTGGTTAGGGTGGTGGTTCTTGAAGGTTAATGTGGCTGTAGTAGTTTCTTAACGTAACTCAATAATGAAGTTTACCACATTGATTGACTCTTCCTTTAGCAAAAGATTTCTGTGTAACATGTGATGCTGTTTGATAGTATTTTACTCACAATAGAACTTCTCTCAAAATTAGAGTCAATCCTCTTAAACTCTGCCACTGCTTTATTAATTAAGTTTATGTGATATTCTAATTCCTTTATTATATTAACAGTGTTCATAGCATCTTTCCCAAGAGTAGACTCCATCTCAAGTAAACACTTTATTTGCTTATTTCTTTGGTGCACCTCCTCAGTCTGTTGAAGTTTTGTCATGGGATTGCAGCAGTTTACTCACATCTTCACACTCTTTTTCTAATTCTACTTCTTTTGCTATTTCCACCACATCTGCAATTCCTTCCTCCGCAGAGGTTTTGAATCCCTCAAAGTCATCCATGAAGGCTGGAATCAACTTCTTCCAAACTCTGTTGATGTTGATATTTTGATCTCCTCCCATGAATGATGAATGTTATTAATGGCTTCTAGGTTGGTGGATCTTTTCCAGAAGATTTTCAATTTACTTTCCCCGGATCCATCAGAGTAATCACTATTATGGCATCAATAGCTTTACAAAATGTATTTCTGGAATAATATGATGTGAAAATTGAAATTATTCCTTGATCTGTGGGCTGCAGAAAGGATGTTGTGTTAGCAGGCATGAAAACAGTAGTCATCTCCTGGATGTGCATTGCCTTCAGAGCTCTTGGATGACCAGGAGCATTGTCAATGCACAGTAATAATTTGAAAGAATTCTTTTTTTGTTTTTGTTTTTCCTGAGCAGTAGGTCTCAACAGTGGGCTTAAAGTGTCCAGTAAACCAGGCTGAAAACAGATGTGTTGTCATTCAAGTTTTGTTGTTACTTTTCAGGAGCACAGGCAGAATATATTTAGCATAATTATTATTATTATTTTTTTTTTTTTTTTTTTTGAGTTGGAGTTTCACTCTGTCGCCCAGACTGGAGTGCAGTGGCCGCTCCCGGCCACCGCAGCCTCGACCTGCTGGGCTCCGGCGATCCTTCCACCTCAGCCTTCTGAGTAGCCGGAATTACAGGCACGCGCTACCATGCCCGGCTGATTTTTTTTTATTTATTGTAGAGATGAGGTCTCCCTGCCCAGGCGGGTCTCGAACCCGCGGGCTCCGGCAATCCACTCACCTCAGCCTCCCAAAGGCGCGGGATTACAGGCTGAGCCACCAAGCCCGGCTAGCATAATTATTAAGAGCCCCATGGTTTTTGGAATGGTAAATGAACATTGGCTTCAACTATAAGTCACCAGCTGCATAAGCCCCTAACAAGAGTGTTAGCCTGTCCTTTGAAACTTTGAAGCCAGGCATTGACTTCTCCTTTCTAGCTATGACAGTCCTAGATGGTGTCTTCTTTCTATAGAAGACTGTTTTGTCTACATTGAAATTCTGTGTTTAGCATAGTCACTTCATCAGTGATGTTAGCTAGTGTTTCTGGATAACTTGCTACAGCTTCTGGAGATGGCTTCTTTCCTTAAACGTAATGAGTCAGCCTCTGCTAGCCTCAAACTCTTCTGGAGCGTCATCTCTCTCAGCCTTCAGAGAATTGAAGAGAGTTAGGGCCCTGATCTAGATTAGGTTTGGCTTAAGGGAATGTTGTGACTGGTTTGATCTTCTGTCTAGACCACTACACTTTCCCTACATCTGCAATAAGGCTGTTTTACTTTCCTTTCATTTGTGTGTTCACTAAAGGAGCACTTTTCATTTTCTTTGCATTCGCAGTATAACTGTTTGGCTCAAGAGACCTAGCTCTCAGCCTGCCTTAGCTTTCAAAGTGCCTTCCTTACTAAGCTTAATAATTCCTAGTTTTTAATTTCAGGTGAGAGGTGTGCAGCTCTTTCTACCACTTAAATACTTAGAGGCCATTGTAAGGTTATTAATCGACCTGTAGTGCAATATTGTTGGAACTCAAGCAATAGGGAAGCCTGAGACTGGGGAACAGCTAGTTGGTGGAGCAGTCAGAACACACACATTTATCAGTTAAGTTTGTCATCTTTTGTGGGCATAGTTTGTGGTGCCCCAAAACAATTATAAGAGTAACATCAAAGATTGCTAATCACAGTTTACCATAACAGGTATAATAATAATGAAAATATTTTAAATATTATGAGAATTACCAAAATGTGACTCAGAAACACAAAGTAAGTACATGCTGTTGAAAAAATGATGCCAAGAGACTGACTTGATGTAGGGTTGCTACAAACCTTCAATTTGGAAAAACAACTCAACATCTGCAAAGTGTAGTAAATGAAGGCTCAATAAAACAAGTTATGCATGGAATTGATTCTTTTTTAGTTTTAGCTTTAAAATAAACTGTTATCTGCAAGTTTCTTTTTACTAATAATTAATATATGCTTTTAATTATTTATTTAAATATCCTTTGTAACAATGTAGAGTAATGGACTAGAGCTTAAATGCTGAAGCCAGACAGGCCTGAGTGCCTTGGTTTGGTAGCTGTATGGCTTTGAACATGTTATTGAATGCCCCTTAGCTTCACTTTCCTCATCCATGAAATAGAACCAATGACTACTATGAGGACTGAAATCTGTAAAACTATAGAAAAAGCATAGCACAATAGCTAGTCATTGTAAGCATGGAAAATTACTCGGGGTCAATTGTCTGTTATTACCATCATCCAGCTGGTGATCCAGATTGGAATCTTTTGTGTTTATCCAATCTCTTTTTTAGCATGTATCATACAATATTGAAGCAGCCTATTTATTTGTGTTTTTCTTTCTTGCCTGGAAGCTCTCTAAGGACAGAGACGATGTCTCATTGAGTCTTGTATTTCCAGGATCCACCACAATGCCTTTTAGAAAGTAGACATTCATTAAAGATTAGTTGAACAATTGAACAGGTGCTTTTCAGATTGTTTAAGAACTGTGCTCTTTTTGCTAAGGAGAAACATATACCTGCCTTTAATATGATTTGAAATTCAAAATAAGTAAAATGTGGTATCCAAAAAGTGATGGACATTTTGTAGTAAAGTGTTTTATTTTTACAATGTTTGAGCAGTTTGAAAGATTATGATCTTTCCATGAGAGTCCATTCTACCCCACTTCATTCCTTGAAGAATCAGCCAGTGGATAAATTGTCCAGAATCAACTTGAATTTTAATGTCAGTTAGGAAACTGGCTAGGTATATGACCTGAGTTTCCTCAACTCTGAAATGGTGAGATTTGGATTATAATAGACTTTTAAGATATCTTCTATCTCTAATTTTTACTTTATTAATAGTACTTGATAGCTGAGAACTTACTGGGTGCCAGATGATCCAGTCATCGCTTTTTTCCCCATATATTCTCTCTTAATCCTGAAATATCTTCAGTGACTACTACATATTGATTATACTGATTTTACTGATGAAGACAAGTAGCTCAGTACAGGAAACTGTGAAGAATACCATCAGTGCTGTCACTGAGTAGAAAAGCAAATTAATGCTTGTCATGAAGATCAGATGAAGCAGATGAAGATCAGTGAATGCAAACTTGGATTGTCTCAATGACAAAGACTCATACAATAGGAGTCTGCCTAGATATTATACTGTGCCCTGAAGATGGCCAGACACACCATCTGAACAGTGATGCCAGGAGGGTGGATACCTTAAGGTGATATAGGACTCTATTGCACTGTTTGAGAAATAAGACTCTTAGCTTCTCAAGTTGTCATATATCCCTCATATTCTAAGAAATTTACTCAGAGAAAAGGAAAAATAAATTTTCCCAGATTCCTTAAAAGCTTTTTTTCCTGTTTAAGAGAAGTACCTTTAATGAGTTCTACTCTCAATTTTTAAAGCTCTTAAAAGTATCTAGCAGTCTTCAGCTCTTTTACATTCTATTAATGAATTGCTAGTGTTGGCAATAAATAGGAGGTGGATAATTAATTTGAAAAGTATGTATTTTAATCATGGTTTTAATTTTTTGTTTTAGCTTTCTTCTGTTTCCATTTATATTTCATTTAGGTTTTATTTGCTTCCTTAAAGCTCTCTGATATAATAGTACTCCAGGCCAATATTGTTTCTAATGAGTGTGTGCGCGCGTGCGCGCACGTGTGTGTGTGTGTGTAGACAGGTGATTGACCTGTTCTGTACAGTGAGTAAAATAAATTTACTCTACAGGCCTACCTTGGAGCTTACTACTGATTTGTAATATTTCTATGGAAAAATATGTTCAAAATTTTAAGTAACTTTTCCACATTGTAGTTGCCTTTATGCCATAAGGATTAAATTAAAAAGCAATCTTAGGCCAGGTGCAATGGCTCATGTCTGTAATCTCAGCACTTTAGGAGGCCAAGACTGGAGAATCAGTTGAGCCCAGGAGTTCAAGACCAGCCTGGGCAACACAGAAAGACCTCATCTATACAAAAAATTAAAAAATTAGTTGGGTGTGGTGGCATGTGCCTGTAGCCCAGCTACTGGGGAGGCTGAGGCAGAAGGATCTCCTGAGTCCAGGGGTTGAGGCTGTGGTGAGCCTTGATTATGTCTCTGCACTCTCTCTTTGGTGACAGAATGAGACCCCAACTCAAAAAAAAAATTAAATCATAGGTTAAGATCCTTTAAAGATACTTTAAATTCGCTGGGTCTGGTGGCTCACACCTGCAATCCTAGCACTTTGGGAGGCCAAGGCAGGAGGATTACTTGAGCCCAGGAGTTCGAGACCTGCCTGGGCAACATGAGACCTTGTCTCTGCAAAATAATAAAAAATTAGTCACGCATGGTGGTCCACGCCTGAAGTCCCAACTACTCAGGAGACTGAGGCAGAAAGATAGACTGAGCCCAGGAAGTCAAGGCTGCGGTGAGACATGATCCTGCCACTGTACTCCAGCCTGGGTGACAGTGAGACTCTGATTCAAAAACAAAACTTTAAATTGTGCACGATGATTTATAAAATTATTGTAAGTTGTTCATGCCACCAAAGGGGAAAGAAAAGAGAGAGAGAGAGGTTGTGTGTGTGCATACATGTATATACATAATCTCAGGGATAGTTTTGATTGATTTTTATCCCAAACATCCTAATCATGTTTTGCCTGAATTTTGTGAAATGAGTGGATAAATTCCTCATTTAATGTAGATTCCTAGAATATTAGAAAATACTGTGTTGTGTTAGTTAGAATGTATTGAAGCTACATTACAGAAAATTAACAATGGCTAGATTTATGTAAGGAAATTTATTTGACTTGAGCTATCATGTGTTGAGAATACAGATTAGGTGTACTGTTTTTTAGTAAATTCTAATATTTAGTATTTTTTGCTGTTTTATGAGTACTATTGTTAAAAGATAAAGGCAGAGCCTAAAGCTAGTTTTGGAGGGATGAGTTTGGAAAAATAACTGGTATTCTGTCAGGACTATTCTGAAATCTGTGTTTGTTACTCCTTTTGCATCATTGTGCCTTGAGTTTTGAAGAAAGCTATAATCCTTGAATCACATAGCCCCACGCAGTTTTCATGTAGCTAGGAGCTGTGGAATGCCTGGGCACTAGGCTTAGTTTTCCAGGTTGATTTTATTTTTCCGGCTTTTCTGGGGTCTGTGGTATGGGACTCCCTCTCTAGGGTGTTTGCAGATTTGGAGCTTTGGAGGTTTTACTTCTTATTTTTATCTGGGAATGTTCTGTATTATACATAAGTACTTTGTAGCCTAAGTTATTTCAACTTGACGTTTGTAACTGGGTATTCCTCTTTTAACAGTGTCTTACTTTCTACAGGTATGCCTTACATTTTCTTGTACAAAGTGGAATTTCCTACTGTATCATGATCATAATAGGAGTGGAGAACATGCACAAGTAAGTATTTACTTTGTTCACATGTAAAGATGTATTTTACGTTAATAGAATTTGATTAAAATATAATTTTACTTATTACATTAAAATAATTCTGAATTGTGATTTTATAAAGAAGATAGAAAATAAAGATATATAAATAGATACAAAAATAAAGTCATAGGTATGCATTGCTCTCCTTTTTACTTAAAGCAGAGTTTTTCAGCCTCAGCACTGTTGACATTTTAGGACGGATCATTCTTTGATGTTCAGGACTGACCTGTACATTGTAGGGTGTTTACTAGCATCCCTGGCTTCTAACCACTAGATCCTAGTAGCACCCCTGGAGTTGTGACCACCATAAATATTTCCAGTTATTTTCAAATGTCCCCTCAGGGGGAGAAGCTGCATCCTGTTAAGAATTACTCAATTAGTCTGTAGGTGATAGCGGTGGAGAGATGGTGTGCAGATTGGAGAGAGATTTAGAAAGACTTGAGTAATTGATGGAACTGGGAGGAATGAAGGTGTCAAGGATGACTCCCAGGTTTCTGGCTTGAACAATAGGGGGGATGGATGCACTGTTCTCTGAGGTAGGGAACTCCGAAAGTGGGGAGTATACTGAGAGAATAGAACATTTCAAGTTCATATATGTATTCAGCCCCCTAAACAGTGCATGGTATATAGCAAGCACTTAATGAATTTTTGCTGAGTAAATGAATGCTGACTTTAATGTGTCTGTGAGATACGCAATAGGAGCTGGGTAGCTGGGCTAGAGATGTAAATTTGAGAATAGAGATGAGTAAAATGTATGTGGTTGAAACCCAGGGACAAAGTATACCAGCAGATCCTGCTGGAGTGTTCCACAGTATCTGAGCTCTGACATATGCACTCTATTTCTGAATTCTGAAATACATGTCTGTAAGTGTTTTGTGTAAGAATCAGACCTATAGCTTTTATTAACTTGCTTCTACTTCTCATTCTATTTTGCATCTTTGTGTTTGACATTGTTAATTACCCCCTCTGTTGTACCCCCTCTGTTGTAATATGCTATTTTCTCAGTTTCCATTGACACTGCCTACACTGGCTTTTCTCTTTCTTGTGTAAACCAAGTTTACAAGTTCTTGTTGTTTTGATTTTAATTTTTATAAGAGGAGAAAAATAATATTTTGATAGTGTTACAGATGAAGCAATTGTGACCTTATTTTTAAAATCTTGTACAGATGGAAGGTTCAAAGTGATGCTACAAATAATATCCATGAAGAAGAGCTGTATGTTTTAATCTGGATAGTAGAAGGAAAGCCTATTAGATTATTGGAAAAGGAGGACTTAATATACTAGTGGCAAGAGCAAAAGTAGCATTATGCTTTTAAGTTGAAAGGTTAATAAATTCATGCCTAGCAATAGGAAATTATTTCTTCTTCTGAAAGGTAATTGCTATCTGTGGTATTAATGGTCTGATACTTGAGACCTGCACTGTTCAATATGACTGCCAATATCCAAATTTGAATTAATTAAAATATACAAGCTAGTTCCTTAGTTACACTAGCTGCATTCCAAGTAGTGAGTAGCCACATGTGACTAGTGGCCACTTGGACAGTACAGAGAATATTTCTGTCATTTAAGAAAACTGTGTTGGAAAGTGCTGCTTTAGAAACATTTGTATTAAATTAGTAATGTATCTTATTTACAGTAAATATTCAGGGAGAATACTGTATATATACTGCTGATATTTAGGATAGAATTTCCATGTTGGAATTGGACACTATTGATGGAGCAGATTAGGATAAGTAAGGGTTTATCATTTGAGCTAATTGCTAGTATTGGCAATCAATGGCAGATGGGTAATTAATTTTAAAAGTGCATATTTCTATTTTTAGTTTGCTTTCTATATCAATTTATACCCATATATATTTTTCTGTTTGACTCTACTTTTTTACTTGTTTTCTGTATATGCTCATTTTTTTTCCTACTTAGGCCTTTACATTAATTTTAAATGTTTAATGATTCATACCTTAAGAATTTCACCCAAGTACCAAGAATTTCTACTAGCTAGACAGAACTTAGAGCATTCCTTTGTGTTGTCCAGAGTTATTGTTTATGTATAATACAGTGTCTTTGTTTCTTTTAGTCTAGTTTTACATGGTATGTATAATGTATTTCTTTGACCAGCCAGAGTTTAAATCTTTCATTAAAAGTTTAGATCTGCCAGGCATGGTGGCTCAAGCCTATAATCCCAGCACTTTGGGAGGCCGAGGTAAGGGGATTGCCTGAGCCCACGGGTTCAAGAATGGCCTGGGCAATTTGGCAAGACCTCATCTCTACAATAAATCAAAAATTTAGCTGGGCATGGTAGCTGTGCCTGTAGTTCTGGCTACTTGGAAGGCTGAGATGGAAGGATCGCCTGAGCTTAGTAGGTCAACACTGGGGTGCACTCCAGCCTGGGTGATGGAGTGAGGCATCAATTCTGAGTACTTAATAGTTTTATATTTCTTACCTTTCTCATCTTTATGATTTTTTATTTGCTTTATGATCTTTATGAGGTGTTCATAGTACAGTTATTGTGCTTCCATGTGGAAATTAAGATGTTATAATACAAACTTTATTTTTGTAGTTCCCTTTAATGCTTATATGTATACTTTGTTATTCTGATCCATATCTAGATAATTTACTTTTTAAAACTTAATCTGCTGGGCACAGTAGCTCATGCCTGTAATTCTAACACTTTGGGAGGCAGAGGCGAGAGGATTACCTGAGCCCAGGGGTTTGAGACCAGCCTGGGCAACTTGGTGAGACCTCATCTCTACAATAACTAAAAAAAATTAACTGGGCATGATGGCGCACACCTGTGGTTCCAGCTACTTGGAAGGGTGAGGCAGAAGGTTCACCTGAGCCCAGCAGGTCAAGGCTGTGGTGGCCTTGAGCGTGCCCCTGCACTCCAGCCTGGGTGACAGAGTGAGACTCCAACTCAAACAAAACAAACCTTAATCTTATACTAGGATTCAGTTTTTCCTAGTTTGTATTTTCATATAAGCTTTGAAATTTTTGAGGAAACATTGAAAAATTTAGTAGAGACAAAGAAAAACATTACACCTTTAGGGATAGAGTATCCTATATCTTAGTCAATTTGAGCTGTTATAACAAAATACATAAGCTAGGTGGCTTATAAACAACAGAAATGTATTTCTTCAGTTCTGGAGTCTGGGCGGTTTAAGATCAGGGTGCTGGCAGATTTGGTGTCTGGTGAGAGCCTGCTTCCTGGTTCATAGTCAACTATCTTCTCTCTGTTAACTCACATAGTGGGAGGGGCAAGAGGGTTCTGGGTCTCTTCTGTAAGAGTGCTCATCTCATTCATGAGGGTTCTGTCCTCAAGACCTAATCACCTCTAAATATCCTCATATTGAGGATCAGGTTTTAGCATAATGAATTTTGGGAGAACATAGTCTATAGCACCATATAGTAGGATATTAATTCTCCTCAATTAACATAGTGAGAATTCAATTTTCACCAGATTCACCCAGCATTTCCAAGAGCAGGTTTGGCAAATTATCACTGAACTTTCAGCTTTGTAGAGCATACAGCCTCTGCCACTGTTCCATTCTACTTGTGCAAAGGTATCCATAGATAATATGTAAGCAAACGAGCATGACTGTGCTTCAGTAAAACTTTGTTTACAGAAACAGGTGGTGGATGAATTTGGCCAGCCCATATTCTAAGCAAACTCCTGCCACAGAGATTTTTTTTTAAAGAGCAGGGAGCAGAGAGACACTTTTTCTACTAGCTTCAAAAATATGATATAAGGCCAGGTGCAGTGACTCACACCTGTAATTCCACCTCTTTGGAAGGTCGAGGTGGGAGGATTGTTTGAGCCCAGGAGTTCAAAACCAGCCTGGGCAATATAGTAAGACCTCATCTCTACAAAAATAGATAGGCATAGTGGCTCACACCTGATGTCCTAGCTACTTGGGGGACTGAAGCAGGAGGATTGCCAGAGCCCAGGAGTTTGAGGCTGTGGTGAACCATGATTGTGTCATTGCACTCCAGCCAGAGTGAGACCCTGACCCAAAAAAAAAAAGACAAATTTAAGTTTGCAAAGTGATAATTTTAAACTTGTTATAGCACACATAATGGAATATTTGAACTCATTTATTAATGGCTTCTTACGGATTGTTCTAAAGTGGGTATTTTCTAAGGTAGTTGAAATGTTTGCCTTCCTCTTGGTATAACTTTTGTGTGAAAGGAAAGTAAAATACTGTAAGGCCTAATGTTTAACACTTACAGTGAAAAATATTTACTCAAAACAATGTAAGGGAATAATAAAAAATCACAGGATGTAAGATAACATACAAAAATCAGTATTGTTTCTATATATCAGAAGTGAGCAGTCCAAACTGAAATTTTAAAAATCCGTTCATAATAGCATCAAAAAAAACCCAATATGCTTATAAATAAATTTAACAAAAGAAGTACAAGATCACTATCCTGGAAAGAAAAGGCAATCCTGAGAAATTAAAGAAGACGGGATAAATGGAGAGATATACCTTGTTTATGGATTGGGAGACTCATACTGTTAAGATGGCAATTCTTCTACATTTGAGCAGTAGATTCAGTGACACCTCTGTTAGGATTCCAGGAGGCTTTTTTTTATAGAAATCTACAAACTGATCCTAACATTTAAATGGAAATACAAAGAACATAGGGTAACCCAAAAAGAAGAACAAAGTTGAAGGGCTTACACTGAGTCATTACAAAACCTATCATAAACTTACAGTAATCAGGACAGATGAGTTGGCTCATGCCTAGAATCCTAGCACTTTGGGAGGCTGATATGGGAGGATTGCTTGAGGCTGGGAATTTAAGACCAGCCAGGTCAACATAACAAAACTGCATTTCTACCAAAAAAAAAAAAAAAGCTACAGTAATCAAGACAGTGTACTACTAGTATAGACATAAGCATGTAAATCGTTGAACAAAATATGTTCAAATGATTATTGACAACTGTGCTAAGCCAAGTCTCTGGGGGAAAG